ATATATATATATAGATAGATACTACTTATTTAAACGAAATGACATTCCTTATGAACTTAAGAAGTTGCATACCTAAAAGTATTCTTTTTTTCTTAAGTTTGGAATATTACCTAGAATAAATAACTTTAAAATATAAGGGAATTGTGCACGTACATTCCAGGTACCTTCATAAAAAAGGGGGTGCGCGTTACATGAAGAATATACCTAAAAAATTAAAATTTTAGTTTGAAATTATGGGGGCGTGTGATAAGCCTGGATTTATGGTGATACAATTCCTTCTGCTTCTAACAGACTTTAAATGTTCATTCGCCTTGCTTTAATGATACGAGGCTAGATAAAAAAGAAAAAAAAAACAAATAGGTTTACAAGTCGAATAAAGAAATATTTATTAACTATAGACAGAAAATACAAAAGGGAAATAGGAGGCATACGTTTCTATCCCGTTTCGACATAATCACCAAGTCTATTTATGTGTTTATCAGAACGCAGAACCAACTTTAACCCATCTGGGTAGTAATCAAGTATTTGCTCATTGAGCCAAGTCTCGACGAATGTTTTCATAGCACTGTCTTGGAATATCGCAGCACGTCAGAAACGATGTGCTGCATGCTACCATAGCTCAGTCACAGTTCTGACAAGATTTCACTCTGTGTTACCCGTCGATAATTTTGAATCATTTCCTCAATTCATGCCGTATTGATTTCTGCTTTTCCAGAACTTGACCAGCTGTTCCATGCCGTATTGCGGTTTTCGGCATCCTGTTTGCCTGATTGAAAAGAGTGAAACCATTTTTCTACATGTTGTCTGCTTATTGCTTCTTCACCATTAACTTCCACGATTTGACTGTGAATGTCAGATGCGGACACATTTTTTGCCCATAATTGAATCACGGCTCGCATATCCAAACGAGGCCAATTTCCTCAGTCTTGCCATTTCAATCGTCTTGAACCACCTCTACTAACTTTACCATCTACCCGCAAACCAGCTGTTTGACAAGTAGCGCAATCTGTCTCTACTCTGGGGAAACAAAATATCTCCACGATATGTAGTTTTCAAATGCTTCGGCTTGTAATCTTTTTCTCTGATCATCCCTCGTAATTATTTTAACAATCGATTTCCCAAAAGTGGAAAGCTCAACACAAAAGGAACATTTTCGAAAAGAAAGAAAATCTACTTCTCATATAGCATTGTGTGAAACTCTTCACACATATTAAGATAATAGACTAAAATACTCAAATGTTATATATATTTTATCGAAAATTCTGCAAACAAATCAATAAAAAGAATAAATTGCGGGTCAAAATATACGCGACATTTCACCATTTGAAGCTGTTTTTATGTTATCCCAAACAGGTTTAAAAAGTTCTAAAATTCGTTTATAAAAAAAAATGTTATTGAAGTAATTAAACATAATATAAAAAAGTTTATAAAAACTGGTGACTATATGCTCAAATTTTTTTTTTTTTTTGCAAAAATATTTCTTTAAGTTAGGCATTTTTAACTTTTTGGATTAGGAAGAAAAAATTGATACTAGTTTAAGAGGATATTCAATATTTCTAAACTCTTATATTTATCAATTTATGCCTGACAAAGTTAGATTCAGTTAAGAAAAATCTGAAAAATGTTCTAAAACTTACGAGTGAAAAATTTCAGAAATTCTTTTCCATTAATTATTGAAGAATTTTGAATTCTCTCTCTCTCTCTCACAGCGCATTTATGTAGTGCACTGTAATATCTTAGATATATGGTGTAAAGAATGTTTTGTTAATTGTAATATAGCACAAATCTTTAACTTAATTTATCTTTTTTTTATATTCAATTTAAAACGCCTACTTGATTTTCAAAATATCTCATTGTTCTCCCAAAAGTTACCGTTACATTTTAAAACATTTTGTAATCTGTTGATATTTCATAACAATATTATATGCCTCTATTAAGGTTTCCTGGATTAAGTATTTGATCACCGATGAAGAAATAAGTGTGTTAATAATATCAAAATATTGCTTTTTCATTTTACACTTAAGTTAAAAAAAATAAATAAAAGGTGAAACTTTAGCAATGACTGTTGTGAAAATAATATAAAATGATATATCCTTACATATTGTAAGAGTTATTTACTTGTTTTATATTAAAAAAAAATATTTGCTACATATGCGAAAACCTTATGCAATTCAATAAACTAGTTAAAGAAGCTCTAGTTTAGTTGTTCATATCAACAGCAAAAGAAATTCTTCTTCATTTTATACAAAGCAAAATTGCTTACTGTATAATGCGAGTGTAAAGTAAAGTTTTTTTCACTTTCGTTTCATTAGAATTTATTTAACACATTTATAACACTTTCTACAAAACGATTAAAACTTAATAAAATTGATATAAAAATTAGTGACCTCAGCGATTGTAAAATTAACTTTTAATAATAATGAAGACGACAGTTGAAGTTGAGCATGCAATCTCCTAAATGATAGCATAGAGAGGACAAACTTCATTTATTGTAAATTTGTAGACTCCTCTCTTATTTAACATAAAATAAATTTGGTAAGATAATTACTCTTCAGCTCCTGATTGTATGGCTAGATAACTTAATATGCAATTACTATTGCTCATTTTTATAATGAAAACTGCAATGAAAAGTTGTTTTTTTATATTTCTAATGGCAGATTATGAACAGTCATTACAGAGTTCATCAATCTACCTTGTCCATCACCGAAAGCTGGTATCTCTTTTTAGTGCTGCGCCATATTGGTGGATACTAATCACCGCAGGTAATTTTGACGCCCAGTTTCCTCCCTAGAGGGAGGCACCTGAGCACTGACGATACGGACCAGTACTAGGATTTAATTTTGCCAAGGGCACCCCGTTAGGGATCTTTTTACATGCCGTTTAATCATACGACATGACCACTGTAACGACTTGGCACATAGAGCACTAGGAGGCTTGACACCTAGCGCCCGACAGGCTAGAAAGAGAGCGCTGCCGTGAACTGTTTTGGCCATTGAGCGGGAAGGAGAGAAGAGGAAGGTGGTCTCGAACATAAAATTGGAGGAAGATGCCTGTAGTTTCCGATGCGATTTTTAATTGTAAATAGAGTTGTAAATATAGTGATGTGCTTTGAAGAAAATAATAATAAACGGTAAATTCGGTAAATAAGAATCATGTTTAATTCAACCAACGAAAGACACTACACCACATTCGATTTTCTGCATCATGAAAATCCATTGACTTGGGCCGGGGTCGTACCCGCAACCTTGGGTACCGAACACCAGCAGCAAACCAACCACGCCCCCCAGCCGACCAGAAAAGTATAAATAATAAAATGAATAAGTTATTAGTTGTAAACTATTTGAACTTATAGAGGGGAAGATGCATTTTTTAAAATTAAATTTACTTGAAATATTTGTTGCTGCTTAATTAATATATAATTGTAACCGTTTTTTATGCAATTTTCTAGTGCGAATCTTAAATTTGTGTTGCAAATTCATTGATAAATATGAAATTTATTTACATTTGAACTTACCATATTCCATCAAATAACGTGTTCTTTATAATAAATGCACAATAGTTAACATCTTTCAAAATCCCACAATATAAGAAATTTAAAGCTTCAATGTTTTAAATATATCAAATGTACAATATAAAAAGACGCGATAGTTTACGTTACATAAAGTAACATGTCCCAATGAAATCGTCACAACAAATTCGTATCGTACAGTGCAAAATAACTAATTTAATAAATCCAAAAGAAATTTAATTCAAGTTCTTGATGAATTAAGCCTACAAAACATAAGATTCGTTACCTAGAAAACAATACCATATTAATAACTGTCTGGCACAGAATCCGTCGATCTGTCACTTCCAGTGCAATATTCACAAAAGAACAGTCCTTCATTATTTTCAAAATCCAACCAATGCACACAAACAATTCATTATCCGGTATACAATTCTTCGAAGTTCAAAACTTACTTTGTTTCGAAAAGTAGCATTTGTCAATTCCTGGAAGAGAAAGATTCAAAATTGGGAGAGAAATTGTGACGCTTTCCGCCACCCCACCCTCTAAAACTTCCCGACCACGAAAAGAACACGATATCTGCTGGAACTTCTGCTCGGATATCGTTTAGCGGGTAAAATAAATTCTTCCTGAAATCGAAAGACAACTTGCAAAATGGCGTGCGCGCTCGAACGGGAAAAGGAAAGGAATATCGGGAAAAGTTGCTCGGTTTCGGAGATTGCTTGGAATAAATTCCAAAAACTCCTGCTTTTCCCTCAAAGGTATATAGGTTACTGACGGCGGACTTTGAATACTAAACAGCCCAGTCACAACAATTCTTTGTAGGTGAATCAGAAACCATTCTCATGGTCGAAGGAAAAGAACAGATTGGTTTGTGTGGAAGGGATATGGGATGTTGAATTGTGCCATGACTGGAGGAATCTTAGTGATTGCTTAGACCGTGGGGGAAAGGAAATCGGTTTATTTACCAAATGTTTCTTGGAATTGTGATCACTAAAAATGTTTTTTGTTTTCGTAAATTGAGTTTTAATGTCCATGAAAGTTAGGTACAAATACATACGTTTTTGTTTGTTATACAAAAAAATATTTAGATAAATTTAAATATTTAATACCTCCTGTGTACAGTGATTTACAAGCACTAATGACAAATGTATTGTACAGTTGGCATTTGGAGATGCTATTTTCATTAGGATTTTAATTAAATATTTCTTTTTTTCATTTTTCGTTTTAAAAATCAAATTTTTCAATTACTACTATTAGCGTACTTGTCATAATATATATATATATATATATATAACTTATTCAAATTTTCAATCGTTAATAAAATACTTCCTATTCATCCATTCAAGTTCAAGTACATTTTTTAAACTTGTAGTGAACGACACTTGATGTCAATACAGTTTTTCCAAATACTAATTTATTAATTAAATTTAAAAAAAATTAATAAATATTTCAAGACACATATATAGAAAGAAAAGTCGTTTGATGTGCACCCGTAGCGTAATGAATAGCGTGTTGGACTTCTAATCAAAAGGTCGGGGGTTGGACCCCCCCCCCCCTTGGGATTCCTAACTTCTAAGAATGTGATTTCTTTTTTTACTATTCTATTTATTAGAATAATTAAATTTAATTGATGGATAAGTAGTAACCAAAAAAATAGTCCAACACCCTATATAGGAATGAAAACGGAAAAATATCGCATCTTATTTTGTTTCCTAATATTGTGATTCTGTCATATGTATATACAATTTTTTTGTATTAATTGTAACTATTAAATAAAAAGTAACTAAAATAAAATATTTCTTTGTTGACCTAATTGAATTATTTTCTTTTTATATTATTTGTTTTTTACTATGTTTAATTTATCTTAAATCGGTATGGTTTCAGTGCTGACTAATCAGTGCTAATGCTGGATAATTATTTCAATAACAAACTTAGAATAAATTTCAAAAATATCTGTGTTCATTTCAATTTTAGTATAATATGTATCCAATATTTCACGGCGGTGCATATACCTAAGCTCTTAAGTTATCATCAGGAAACGATGCTTTTCCACTTTATTTTAATTGGAAAATTAAACAGATTTGGTACTAAAATGGGTCCAATGTATAGCATAGACATGCATAAGTTATTAAATATTTATTAAATTATGTTGTTTATATCCCTCTACAAAAACTCTAAGGTATTTTTTTTCCAGAAAAATTATGTGCTCTGTAGCAAATACTATTGATTCTACTCCAAGTAATAAAAGCTAGTACTAATGTACAAATAAGTATACTTTCCTTAATATAACTATACCTTACATAACAAAGGAGACTTCCATAATGAAAATGATTTATCACAAAATGTTTTCATTACATTTGTAAAATGTGTTTGCAACGCAATAGTGATGCTATCAGTATGTTAAGGCCACACCTTCTACAAACACATTCTGTAGTAGCTCATTATCACAGGTCATGAGTATAACTTAATGCTATTAACACAGGAATAGTGTATAACTGGAATATATATATATTTATTTATATGTCATTCACAAACTGTATTTTGTAAATCAAAGGGGATTGGTACAGACTTAGATTTTATTTTTCATTATTTTTTTGCTATTAAACGCATGCTAACGATTGCTTTATTCTTAATTATAGAAAACTCCAAATAAATGGAGAAAAACACATACATTGCACATTTCGAATAAAACTTGCTGAAAACTTGTCTGCGATTTTTTTTTAACATTTTAAACACGAATACAATTTTTTTTTTAAAAAAAGCATATTTAATCAAATCATTATAGGTAAAACAAGCACTTAGTTAACGTGTTAACAAAATTTGCATCAGTATCTCCTTAGAACTGGGGTGGGTATTACGTCGATCAACCGATCGAGTGCAAAGACCTTTTGAGGTGATAACCTGAAGATATTAGAAGCTAGTAATTATATTCAGAAATATTGAAGATTAGTTGAACTATACAGACTATAAGTTTTCTATTAATTATAACTACAAAAACTAACTTCAAATAAAAATGTTTTTTTTTTATGTATTTTGAATTGTTTTATAACAAACACATCATTTGCTATTATTATTATGTTTGTATCTTGCGTTTTTCTTTAGGATATCAGACTACGTTCGGAACCATGATTTTAAAAAAAGCACATAAATGAAGAATTTTCATGATATTTAGTGTTACTTAGATTAGATTACATGTATAAAATTGCTTTAAGGACATTATGACAAAAAAATATTTAAGTATAATATTTTGGCAAAGAATTAACTTTTTTTTCAAAACGTTCTCCTTTTATAAAAAATGTTTCTATAATAGTAATATTTTGTGTGTGTGTGTGTGTGTGTGCTTAGTTAAAGTAAAGACATCTCCAGAGAGTCTGAACTAGGAGTTTTGAAAAATTCACATTATTTTCAGAGTTACCACCAATTGAAATAATTATCGGCTTTTTTATCTTAAAATTTCTCCCTTTGTTGTAGTAATATATGGATAAATTCACTTCTAAGTTATATATTTCAAAAATTCTAGTTCAGCCTCTGTACAGAGATCTGAGCTATATACGGGCAAAATATTATTATAATAGAAGCATTTTTCACAAAAGGAGAATATTTTGAAATTGGGTCATTTTATGTTCATTTTTTGTCAAAATATTATACTTAAGCAATTTTTTATCGTAATATTATTCTTAAAACTATTCTATATACGTTTTGTAATCTAAATGACACTAAATATCATAAATATTATCCATTTACACGCTTTTGCAAAATCACGGCTCCGAAGGTAGTCGGCTACCTTAAACATGGTTTTAAAAGCGTTAATTTTATTTTAGTTCTATAGGTAAGTGCATATTCCGTATTTATTACATTAAGTTATAAAATAAATATTGTAGACCTTTTCTACTTACCACTCTTACCACACTGGACCTTGGCGCACACGAGAATTTTTCAAGGGGGGGAGGGTTGAGGGACAGAAGTCTACCATTCTCGTATCATACCCCAATACGAAGCCAAACATTTTTTTTTCTATTTTGTAGACTTTTTGAGACAAAAAACAGTAAAAAATAAATTACTGAATAAATATAATCAGCATTAATTAATAAAAAAATTATTAATAAAAGATAATTTTAATATGTACTATATACCTGTGAGATTTAAATCAAAGGAGGGTCTGGATCCGTTGACCCCCTCCCCCGTCCTTTTGTGAGTCATTGACGTTGGATGGATCGCAACACCCCGAAAAAATTAGAAGTAGCTCGTACTCTGGAGAAGTCTGCCCACCCCTGCCTTAGAATATGAAAATTAATACATGGAAGAATATAAACTGAATTATTACCTAAACTAAATTACTTACTTTGTTGAACGTTTAATGATGATTATACATTCTGAAACATAAGACAATCGTACTCGTACGTGTTTAATATTCCAGCATTACTGTTAATGATTTTATATACAATTACCTTATGTATTCACACATCACCTGTTGGACTCTACATCAATAATTATGATTAAGGTTTGCGGGCTCAGCGGATATTGTAAGCTGATATATAAGTGACCTAATGATAATGTATTGTTTAAGGGATAGCTGCCATTAGAGATGTAGGGCTTCTATTATATCAGCCTTAACTCAAGAACATCTGAAATACACAGGGTTGATAAAAATGACTTCAATTATTATTTTATTTGCATTAGAGGGATCAATAATAAGTTAATTTAAAATGTACCCCTAATACTATACTTCCTATATTATTATATTACTTAATCAACTAGTTGTAGCGGCAGTACATTAGCATGCGAAGATGGGGTTATCTTTCTCATTCACAGCTACAGTATCTTTGAGTACATATGATGAAGATAAAGGTTTTTACTTGAAATTATTTGCAGAAGACGCTTACATAATATTTGTATGTGGTTATATTTAATAATACTTTGTATTATTTAATGTGTGCTGAATAATTAACATACGTACTACCAAAAACCGATTTTTTAATTCCTACTATTAATTCACTCTCTCCCTTTACACATTTATTTATTTATAAATATACCTTGTTCAAATTTTAAATCGTTAATGGATTTTTTTTTCTATCCATCCATTCAAGTTCAAATACATGTTTTTTAACTTGCAGTAGGTAAAACTTGATGTTAATAATTTTTTTTCAAATATTAATTCATTAATTAAGTTTAAAAAATGAATAAATAATAACAAACAAAAATAATAGTTCAACAGCATATATAGAAAGAAAAATCGTTCGTTGTGTCCCTGTACTGCAATGGACAGCGCGTTGGAATTCTAATGGTCGTCTGTTTGAGTCTCACCTGGGATGGCCTAATGTCTGAGAATGTTATATATCTTTCTTACTATAATATTTTATCAGAATAATTAAATTTATATAATAAATAAAAAGTAATAAAAAATAGTCTAACACCCTATATAGAAAGGACAATCGCTTTCTATTTTGTCTCTTAATATTGTAATTCTGTCATATGTATATACGCTTTTATATTAATTGTAACTATTTAATAAAAAGTAATTAAAATAAAAATTTCTTTCTGACCTAAGTAGGAATTGACATACAAAATTATTTTTATGTTATTTATATTTTATTCATCTGGTTTTCTCTACAATTTTGCTATATGCATAAATTTGTTTGTGTTGTTTGGAAAATAACTCAACATACTTTTATCCATGGTAAAAATAACAGAAATAAATGAGTCAGTCACGCAATCGGTTCAATGATAACAGCTTGTAGAGGTAATTGGCTTGATGCCTTTACTCAGTTCGTTAATTGTTCGCACTTTTTAACACCGACTATAAACGTAAAAAATCCTTAGGAATACTTTCCCTTTTCAAATAAGTTATATCTCAATTTTTAAGTTTTTTTTAAAAAAAATTTACAAAAAAAATTTTTAAAAAATTTTTTAAATTTTAAAAAAAAAAAAAAAAAAAAAATCCCCTTTAATTTCGCCATTTTTTTTTTCTAAAACACATCATACATGATCATAATTTTTAATCATAGTAGAATAAAATGTTGTTAGCAAAAGTTTTCCTTTCTGTTCTCTCTTATTACAATAATTGAGATGCCAGTTTATTTTTATTTAATTTTTAAGGGGATTTATTGAGGAAAAGTTAACAAAAATATTAAGATTTCGTTTTTTCCTATGTTTATGATAAGCCATTCAATGATATAGATGTCAATTGTAGATATACATTCATGAATTTTGAATATTTACGTAAAAAAAAATAAGAACAGTGATTTTTTTTTTTCAAACTGACAATTTTGAAGGTTAAACTTTCATACAAAATGCTTTTTCTGGAGACACATTTCGCTCAAATATAAGTAAAATATTTTATTTAACATAATTTCTTCAATATCTAAAATGATAAACGGCAGTCATTTTTCGACAGATAATAGTATCCATTCATATCTCAAACTTTATGCACGTTTTCCATAAACAGTTTATGCTGGTTTATGGATCGTAAAGGAGCAGTAAAATCGTTTCACGTAACATTATCCCTAACAAAATCCCTTAGCTGTGATTTATTTATTCCCAAAGAGGGAAAAAAAAGC